CCAAGAAAATCTAAATCAAGACAAGAAATTCTTAGAGCAAGATAATCATTTGTCTTCCCAAATAAATTCTTAGATCAAGAAAATATCTCGTTCCGTAACTCCTATTCTTTCCCGCTTTACAGCATTATTTATATTTGTTACGCAAAATCGTGAAGCGTTCCACATTTTTTTAACAAATATAAATAATGCTGTGAATCGGGAAAGAATAGGAGTTACGGATAATTATTACGTGAAGCGTTCGAACATTCACGTAACAGGATTTTTGGTAGGAAAGGATTGAGAAAGGATTGTGGAGAGGAACTTCTTAATGTGAGTGTATAGAATATGTGAGAAAAAATTATTAGATAGCTCGGACTAGTGTTTTCCCCGTGGCATTTTAAATAAAAAATAGACAAATATTAACTTAAACAATTTATTTATGCGTAAGAACTTACGAGTTACACGAAACAAGTATAAACATGAATTGACATGTCCAGTGCACCGAGCTGCTTGAGCCAATGAGACGAATGGGTTATACTTTTTTTTTCGCGCTATCAAACCAATAACTTCGCCGCTGCGTAACAAAGCAGCATCGAAACGTAACTATATATATATACCATAGTACTAGAATCAAGAAAACAATGCTGGCGTGTTAGGAATTTATTTACTTGTATTTAGTTTTACAGTAAATATAAAAAAATTCGAGGGGTGGGTTATACTATTGTCGCGGAGTGTAACGCGGCTTGTCACGACGATAGCGTCGCCAATTTACAACGGATCTCTACTAAACTCAACATATTTATTCTACAGATAAATACCAAAGTCAAGTTCGAAGATGAGCTTAATCGGTCAAGTAATTTAGAAATACCAGGATTTCAAAATTTTGAAAATCTTAAAAATTCATATTTTTTCACTTTTTTACTCGAATAACTTTTGAATGGGATAACTTATTGAAATTCTGTAAAATGCATCTAAAAGCTCTTTAAATTAGCTTTAATTTGAGTACCATATCATATGTGTAGTCGTAAAATTTTTTAGAAATGCCAGGATTTAAAAATTTTTAAAATCATTAAAATTCATATTTCTTCACTTTCTTACTCGAATAACTTTTGAATGGGATAACTTATTGAAATTCTGTAAAATGCATCTGAAAGCTCTTTAAATAAGCTTCAATTTGAGTACTATATCATATGTGTAGTCTCAAAATTATGTCCTATTGCGCTATGCCAATTATGAAATTTGCTATTGCACTGGTTTTAGTATTTTTCTGTCGATACATATTTTTGTCGATTGCATAGAAGTTAGAAGCCCTAGTTTTGTATACAATCCTCGTTATATTTTTTTCTATTTATGATGAAATCTACTTCCATTTCGGCTGCCGAATGGTCTTTTTTTTTTCTGGGAGAGTCCGGTGAAATTGACTGACATAAACTTTAAAAAGTATTGCTGTTATTGATAAAGCAGCGTCCTAGGTTCTAGATTATAATACAGTTTGGTAATTTTTTTTATGAATTTAACATAAAAATTAGAAGAAAATTTCTTTTCGCACAGTACATGTTACAATAGCAACAATTTTTCAGGATGGGGATTGAATTTATTAATCGAAGTGTTCGTCCACAAAAAACGGGATTTACTGATATTCGAAACGTGGAACGCAGTGACATGGGACGTTACTTCAAGCACTAAGTTATTGAGGTTGTTGTTCCAATTATTGGCTACCTTCAATGGTTTGTTTGGCGCAGCGACTATTGATAGCTGCATTGTGCTCTTGATATTGCACTGCTGTGGACAGCTGGAGATTTTGTGTGAGAAGATTAAAAAATTCCACGGACTCATTCGACATAATTTGATCAACAGGAACAAGGATTGCAGTAATACTGTCAGGATTATCAACAATTGCTCGTGCTTGCAGTGCATTGTTGAGAAACACAATTATTTAATTCAGTGAGTTTTATCTTGAGGAAATTTTCCTGTCTATTAATATTATTTTAGAATGATTGTATTACTTTCATTAGTTTTATAACTAATGTCAAATTAATTTTGTCCAATAGTTTTGTAAAAGTACTGGATGAAAGTATTCATGGATTGATGCTTCTTCAATTGATACCAGGAACAATATCCTTTTGTACAAATGGCTACGGACTTATAAAAGTAAGTTTGACTTTTTTTTTATTTTTTTTTTTTTATTCTAATTAATCATTAATTTTTTAATAGCATTTCTCGAACTATGCACAATTTTAAAATTAAGGAAATTAAAAAAAACATAGTTTTACATTTTGTACCGTTAATATCATGACACTTCAATTGTTTACATTATTCTATTTAATTTTTGAGGCACAGATTTTAGGTGTCTTCTCAAGTGCAATAAGAAAATTAATTAAATTTCTAGTATGCATTACTTTAACTAGATATTTTTTTATGTCTTAAGAAAATACAAAAAAAATATTCAATTAAAAAAATTAAGAATCCAAAAAATTACAGTCTAGGAAAGTGAGGGGTCTAAAAAAAACGGGTCCTCGTAAACATGATTGCAACTTTTTTTAGTTTACCAAAATTAAAATAAAAAATACATTCCTAATAAATGCAGATTTTATTATTGTCCAAGCTAGGAACAAGTCGAAAAAAATTTTTTTCGCTAAATGACCAATTTTTTTAAATTAAGTTTATTTTCTGATATTTACAAATTTTCTAAAAATAATAAAAATTTTAATTTATTATATCAATCTAGCTTAGATAATAAATATAGGTATATAAAAGGCTCACACTAACTTTCACGTCCGCCGATTCAGTAGAATTTGAGGTATCATTTCAACCATTTGAAAAAAAAATAGCTTAAAGTTTTCTGCTCTTTCCAAGCCAGTTAAATAACGTCACTATAATAGCTAGGTGTCTGAAAATAATTGTAATTTTTCAAAAATCCTTAAAAGAACATATTCTTAAAAGTTTAAACTTTAAAAATGCAAAAAAAGGTTTCTTTTTTTTTAATTCTAGACTCGAATACCCTTTGAAGTTAACAATCTGATGGTTTTTTCTATTGCTGTCATTGAAAGTTAAAAGTGAACAGAAAAGAAATGTGTTGTAGGCTTGTGTTGGAGCCTCTTACGCGTGATTAGGGAGATCCAGGTTCGATTCCTAGCTTGAGTCCGCAGTCCCATATTTTTTCGTAATTCTTTGTTTTCAATGAATTTTCAAGGAGTGATGATTCATTTAACACCTGAACAAATATTTAACCAACACATAACTAAACAGATTGTTTGCTGTGAAACTAACTCATAATTTTTCTATCATCTAACTTTTTTATCAATGTGCAAAAATTTGAAAAAATCGAAGAAATATTAATTAATACACAGTAAAAAATTTTTCGTCATTGTGTAAAGTGTAAAAATATTTGTGTAGAATATTATACTCTAGTGTGTAGAATTTCACATTCTCATGTGTTGATTTAACACACTAAAATGTTGAATTAACACTAGTTTATGTAAAAATAGTCAGTAACACAAATATTTGTGTTAAATTTGACGAACATTTTTTTACTGTGTACGTTTTGAAATGTTATAGTTGTAGAATTCTAAAACAAAAATTTTATCTTTGTTCAAACCTCAATGATAAAATTTTGATAAATTATAAATAAAACGATTTTGTTTGGTTTTAGAGCTATACTAATGGCGATATTTCGTCAATGATTTATCACATCATTTACATATTCGCAATAATGCCTATTTTTTTGACTCTGTGCTCGGTGTCCGATGATTTATTACAAAAGGTAATGTTATAACAATTACTTCAGTTAAATCGATTTGAGTTATGTTGATTTATCAGCAAAATTGAGTTTTTTTTTTAATTTTTCTTAACATGTTTAAATATGAATTTGTTTCTCTTCAGAACGAAAATATTAAACACATGTTATACAACCTGGAATGGTACAATTATAATAGTAGCACGAAAAAATTTTGGATAATGATGATAAATCATGCAAACAAATCAATTAAAATTACTGGAGGAGGGTTTTTTGTCATTTCACTTAAATGTTATAAAAATGTAAGTTGCTTAATAGATACACAAAAGGAACAATTGTATGTATTTAACTTCGAATATCTTTATTTCAGTGGTTCATAAATGGTGTGGAGTATTTATCTGTCCTAGCAGCAATAATGACAAGGAATTAAACAGATCTTGATAATATTGGCACAAATATGAAAACACAGAAATTTAAATCATTAACAAAAAATGATGGTTTCAAATTATTTCTACTGATACTGTACGCTATAAATAAAATGACAAAAAAGTTTTAATTTATAATTATTTGTTATTTTTAACACTTATTTTGGTTATGGTCGATAAAAAAACAACAGAATTAAGGTAATCTTTAGTATAATATAAATTTCGATGTTAGTAATAACCCATGTAAAAAAGGTGTGGATATAAAAAATAAAATATCGTGACGAATTCATATTCTGATTTACATATAAATTCCCGAAAAATTCAGGTTGAAATCATAGAAAATAATCATCGTTAGAAAATTGATAAAGTAATATGGATTCGGGAAATCATGATAAGTTGATTAATTCATTACATGACTTTTCAAGATTTCTCGGAAAATTCCGGTGGAACGCCGTCGGAAAGTTTGCGGAATTTTTCTAGAATCCTGGCAGAGTTCCGTGGAATTTTCACATATTTATGTCAAAATATGAATTCCTCAGGATTTCTTTGCGGAATCACCCGAAGAATTTCGCAACTTTTTTATACGAAAAATATAAAAAAAAGAAAGGTGTATAGTCACAAATGAGTTCACCTATGGTAATAATTTGATTAGTTATTATAACAAAGTGAGCCAAGGGGCAATGACAAATCACACGGAAAAAAAATTGTACAAAAAATTACGATTGTTACATCGTAATCCAGGAGAAGCCTTTCAACATCTTTACTTTGATAATTTTACATTCCAAAATTTATAATGTTTAATCGTAAAAATTTGTATATTGACTATTTTTACACGCATTTTTGAACTCCGCCGTCCGTCTTACAGCAACTAAGAAAATTTTATTTTAAATGTATATGTAATATCTCAATTTGTAAGAATGCAAAGGTAAAAATTAGTTGAACATCAAATTTAATCTTACCGACCAATTCCTCGCCTCTAGAAAAGGTGTAAGAATAATCTAGGAAAACGGTGGGGGAAAGAAGGAGGGGGAATTGAGGTGGACAAAGAACTCTGTCGGCCATCTGACGACAACATAAAAACATTTAAATTGTTGATGTATCATATAACCCGATCAAGGCTTCGTGACGTTGTTAGATTTAATGTGGCAACGCAGGTAAGTTCGAAAATTGAGGGAGTAGACTGTACGTCTACATACGAACAAGACTCTCACAGGGGGGGGGGGGATAAAAATGAAAGCTTAAAACAGAGCTTTATGGCTACACCTCCCTGCATGGGCCCCGCTGGAAACTGGTCGAGTTATTATAATATCGTAGGCCAATGTAGTCGTTGAATGGGATTGTTGTACGGTTTGACCGAGTACGAGGACAGATTGATATTCCATTCACATCTGTCCAGTGATAACACAGGCGTTTGAGGGCAGGGTTTTTCTTCGCTTGGGCCTGAAGTCGTGGTGTAATGAAAGTAAAGAATATTATTATCAAAAGTCCGTAATATACCTAATAGGGTGACATGTGCGTAGAGATGTGCATTTACCGGTATTTTGATTTTATATGACAAGACCGTCATAAATACCGTTTTGTGACCGTAAGTGACGTCACAAATTTTTTTTCAACACGTTTGTTGTGCAAATGACGGTCACAAGCCCGGTCACAATTGTTACCGTCAAATACAACTACATAGACGTCCCGTGACATAAATTTTGAGTTGACAAGGACAAAATAAACTCTACATAACCGCTAAAATACATTATTATTTGTAATTGAAGTTAATTCCACTAGATGGCGATAGTTTGTGACCGGCTCGTCATAACACTATCGGTCACAAACCCGTCTTGTGACGGTAAAAAGTTTGTAAAATTACTCGTCACGTGACCAGTGTACATCTCTATATAAATTACTAAGAACTTATGTTTTATTATCCTACGAAATAATTTATTATTCCTCTGCTAACATACTAGTTTGTTGCCACAACTTGTTTTATGTTGTCCTAACAAAAAACTTTTTCGTCAGTGCAAAATTTTTAATTTCCGTGGAAATAAGAAAAAATATCTAAAGATAGCGGACACTGCAGTTTCTATAGAACTTCATCAAAACTACCAAACACAACATGACCGAATTACAAAATAATTGATACACGAATAATATTATAATTGCATCGGTAATAAGCAATATTTCGGTAAACAAATACGTGATCGTAAAAATCACCAGGCGAGTAATTTGCATAACAAATAATACATTAATATTAGGCGCTTCTACAGAATCGCTGCCAATCAAATCGAATTAGTTCAGTGTATTGAACTACAGGAACAATAGACGTACGCATCTATTGTTAGCGCCAGCTCATTATTTACCAACTATTAGTATTCCCGGCGTAGTATTGTTTCGATACTTTTTGCTCCTGTCTATCAAAAAAAGTAACATTCTTTCGTTAGTCACTAAATTATGTACCAATAGTTATAAACTAATAAAGTACAGACTGATAGTTATATATATATAGCTGATAAATTATGATTATAGGATTATCGATTTATTAAACTATTTAAAACTCACTGCTAGTTTTAGAAGTCTCTCGGCAGCTTTTGCAACATCCATATTCTGCAAAAAAAAAAATACAAAATTACATTAATATAAAATTATAATTAAAGAAAATCGTTTTAAAAGAATTGATTGTCTTGATTCAAAAATTTATTTAAGTTAATTCTAAATCATCAAAATGAATTTATTCTTGGATTAAGAGAACATCATCTCTACGAAATACAATTAAATCTAATATCGGAAAATGAGATTTTTCAACATTAAAAATCATTTTGTTTTTCTTCGAGAATTTGATATTCTTGGTTCAAAAAAAAGTTTTTTTTTTTTTCATTCACAATACCAAAAAAAAAATTAAAATTAAAAAGAAAATCAAATTTCTTATTTAAACGCATCGTGAAAATCGTTTGAGACTTATTTTCGATGAGATAGAAAATCACAGAAATCCAAGAGTTGTTGGTATTTTTGAAAAAAGTGGGTAATATTTTGCACCAACGTTACCGCAGGTCTTAATCCTCAAAAGTAAAATTGTTAGGTGAAATATAAGTTATCTTGATTGTAAATAGTTAAGTACTTCATTGAATTCATAAAATTCTTGAATGTCAAACTCTATCTCCCTATCCTGGAATATTATTTTCTTGACCCCCTTGAAAAAAAAAGTATAAAAAAATATATTTTGAATATATCTAAAATATATTTGAAATATATAAAATATATATGAAAATTGGCCAAAAGTTTATTATTAAATAGATATTTATGTCATAAGGCCGTGAAGTGGCGGTTTTCTGACAGCGACGATATTTCGATATGAGCTTAAGGTTTGTGGCGGGAAGGTCCGAAACGGACGTAATTTTAACGTCCGAGGCGTAGCCGAGGACGGAAATTTACGCTCGTTTTCGAACATTCGCGTCACAAACATTAAAGCGAATATCGAAAAAAAGTCGTTGTCAAAATCGCCACTAAAAGGCCGAATGACATACAATATTTTTTGTTATTGTCGCTCCATAAGTTTAACTTTTGAGGGATAGGAGGCAAATAATGACATATTTAAATTTTATGAAGTTTCACAAGGGCAAAAAAATTAATTTTATAGTAATTATCTTTCTATTAATCTTAAAATCTTGCTCACGTCAAGAAAATGTAAATAAATTTTCATTAGTATTTATTTATGGCGTTGTTGTTATTTTATTAACATTAGGTCCGCTTCGTAATAAACTGCCAGCAGAGAAATAATTAGCGGCACTCAATAGTAACTAAGACTAAAAATTATCGGTCGGTACGCTAGAATGTGACTTTTTTTTTACAATCTCTCTCAATTTCGTCTGGGTGTACATGAAAAGTTCGTAAAAAAAAGGAGGGGGTAAAACTTCACGGCCTAGGCCGTGAAAAAAAGACGGTATGGGAGAGTCTTTAGAAAAGAGTCTCTTTACGGACGCCACCCAGCGCTTAAAAGTTGAACTTCTGGAGCGAGTATAACAAAAAATATATTTACTATACATAATTTATATATTTCGAAATATATTTTTTTTTTAAATTTTTTTTTCATGGGGGGATTCGCAGGTGAATTTATATCTTAAATCAATTCGAACTAAATATCTCGAAGCAAGAGTAAAATTTTGAAGAGGATATATTTTTGTTAAATCAAGTAGTTTTTTTTTTCAGTACTATCGTCTTTCAAAGAAAAAAATTTAAAAGTTATTCTAAAGTAATGGAGTAAAACCGCTCCTTAAAAAAATCCTAAAATTCAATAACCGCTAACGGACTGAATTGAACTATTCTGCAGACGTTTGCATTTCCAAAAATCGCAGTAAAGAGTAAGATCATTGCCCAATGCAATTATCTACAATATTGCGCCAACTTCCACAGATGGTCTTCTTAGGCACAAACTACGACTCACGACTAAAGCCCTAAAAATAATTTCATAGTTTCCACTACACTATACTTCTTATGTCTCTGATAAGAATGAGATAAGCGACAACAAAAATAAAAATTTAAAGTTAGTATTAAGAAAGATGAAAAATTGAAATTAAAACTGGTAATATAGTTTTCTTTTAGTAAAGAAACTGAATTATTGCATTAAGG